ACTTTGGTAGTAACCGATGTGACTGGTGTTGACGTAGTGGCAATAGGAGATGTTGGTTGTGAATGTGATGATGAACCACTTGCTAATGATTCCCATTGGTCACGAATTGATGAATAAAATTGTGCCGTTTGCATTTGTAAATCATCTGAGTCACTTTTTTTTCCAACACATAAAGCAAATTTATTTTGAAAATATATTTCAAATATATGATCTCGTTCATCTACGAAATGTGTTAAAATAAGATCATTTAAATCACCCAAAGGAAAAACTATATCAACATCAGCTGATTGCCGTGTTGACTGCCGTGGAGAAAATATTGCTGATAAATTTGTTGTTAATTTTAATGCATTTGGTGTTAAACGAAATAGATATCGTCGATAAATTGATGTACCACCAATGCATGCTGGAAAAATACCTTCATCAATAATCGTCGTAGCGACAACCGATTGTTCATTTTCTTTTGAAGTATTCGACGATGGACTATAGATAGGTACACTTGTATTATCAGATTTAACGGATAAATTTGTTGAAGATGTTGATGCAAAATCAAACGGATAAACAAAAGTAACTTGCGGAACTTGAGACGATGGCGCCTGTGATGGCAGTTCAATTGGCACTAGACAATCATCAAGTGAAAATGGTGCACAATCTTTATGATATGTCATGCGACATTTTCGACATCGAAAACCTTGTCGATAAATTCCAGTAATAAGACGTGAACATTTCGAGCAATTTGTTGGTACATTTAATTGGCAGCGATATAAAGCATGTGGATTTAGATTAACTTCAACGGGCACGATAACTAATTCAATGGATGAATTTTGTTCAATATCGGATAATTGAACAATGGGTACCATTGTTAGATCTGTTGTTGGTATTCGAAATAAATACAATGTGTAACGTTCAACTGTAGGTAAATTCTTTAAATTAATTCCGATAGATCGTAGCCAGGTTTCTGCATCACGGTAGATCTTTTCAATAATTAAATAGGATGTATCATTTAATGAATATTTAAATGGTTTTTGTTGAAAACCAAATTTTAATGTAACTGAAATTACATCTGTACGAAGAAGTTTTTCTAGTAGATCCGCTGATTGAGTTGATGGCGGCTTTCCTATGACTGCTGATCCACGTAACATGTTATTTATCTAAAATGTGATAATAATTAAATTATCTAATCGTTGAAGTCTATTCAGAAAGAAAAAGAATTCTCCGAAAAGAAACATTAAGGAAGTCTCATAATTACTTCGAGGAAGTTAACATACCTTCAGCAATTTTATTAGCAATAAAAATAGTTCGTCGTTTCTTCTGTTTTTATTCTCTTGCTTTTTTCTCCTTTCTTTTTTTCCTCTCTTCCTCTCTGTAAGGTTTTTTTTCTATGTACCTTTTTCTCTTCATATCTACATTGTTTTACATAATAGGTCATCATCGACTTGTAAAGAGTACTTTCACAAATGAAATATTTTTAAAAGTCATTAATTATCGATAGATATTGTCTTAGCACAATATTACTAAATAAGCTTTGATGTTTTTTTTTCTTATTCTACTTAAACCTTAAAGTAGAAGAGCAAAGTCTGTCACAGCGAAACCGGAAAAAATGCCAAGTCAAACTATTGACAGAAGGTCTGCGTCGAGATATTATTCTCTTATTACTTCTTTTATTTTTTTTTCAAATATTATGCACCTCGAAATGTATGATTAAAAGACAGCCTCGTTCTTACTCGTTACTAGCTGCCATGATATTCTATGAATAAATATGAAGTTTTACGTCTATGACATGCTATAATTAATATCTAAAACTCATATATACATGATTATGATGAATGCTAGAAATTTTTTGACTACATCAAAAAAATGCTGAGACATTTATAACATATATTAAGTATTTTTTTTTGTAAAGATTAGCTTGAACAATGCTTTTGTAGATATTTTTTATTCACTTACATAAGATCACAGGAAACGGGTTAACAATATCGAACTTTTTTTTCTATTATATTTAAGACATTGCTTTAGTTTAGATAATATTTCAAATAGTCAATGGAATTCTTTATTAGACGTGTTCTATACCAAGAATTTTCAGATTTAAGAAAACTTCAAGAGATCTACATATTAATCAAGCTATTTTAAAAAGTACCAAGCTCTGATAAAGCTCTTTGAAATCTGAAAACTATCTTGTTCGACATCTTATAACTCTTCCTATCCATCATCCATTGATGAAATCTTAATAAAATGTAAATCATAACGAAACTCGGAAATATTTTACTATGATACTTTGCTACTACGTTCAATAAAAAATTGATTTAAAGACATTGATAAATAAATTTGACTGACAAACAGAAGAATTTAATTCACTAATATGTCGATGTTTATAGCACGCTCGAATGAGAGGTAATCAGAATCAGAACAAATATTATGCCATTAACCATGCCTATTTCTGCTTCGACTGAATTTTTTTCTACGTCAACGCGTTCCCCATTAATATAATTGGATTGTTACTGAAGAGAACATTGTCTGATAATTCGGCGCAAAAATTTTCTACTAAAATAGCATTTAAAAAAGGACCACCTGTTCAAAAATCGTATGCTATTGACAATGACATACAGGCTTTTATTCAGGTGAGTATTGTGTTTGCCAAGATTATAATATTGACAGATACTTTCATTTTTGCGAAGCGAAACGAGCCAGTAAAAAAGTGTAGAAACATATGTTTTATAGTTCTAAATATTTGTTACGCCAATTCAATATTTTTATTTTATCGGATAGATAAAATTGTTTGAAAGAACAATTTCATATACGATTTAAAAACATTCAAAAAAAGCAACAACAACAATATTCGAAAATACTAATCTATATCAATCAACGTCATTATTTTAAGTAATATTTTAACATGTAATTCAAACCTCGATCAAATTTGTATAGCATTTAGACTTAATTTAAGAAAAACCTGGAAGAAATATGTTTTATTGTTATTTGACATGAGTAATAAATTGCTGAATAAAATGAGCGGAAACATCAATCTTTTCTTTTATAATAATTTGCCAGCATGCCTGTTCATAGTCAAAATTGCATAGCAACATTGTATGGCTGATGTGAATTATGCCAAACCGTAGACAACATTTAATAAAAGACGGAAGTGTATTACAGCAGATATTGACTTATTGACGTTTCATCTGCCAAATCTTCTGAAATAGATGCACAACAATAGATATCAGTTTGTGGAGGATATTATGCAATAAGACATCGTTCTATACTGTCCTATCGTTTACCAATTTGCTTTTGTCGTCATAAATGACCTCTTGAACTTTAACTGATATATGAAGCCATGTGTGGCTATAAACAATCTAGATCTAGTGGTTGAAATGAAAACAAAATAATAAAAACAAATGAAATTTTTCAACTTTTTTTCATCTGACGAGAGTTGAATACCCATTGAAGATTATCTAATTGCTTTTTTTTTTGAAGAAAACTTGATCTCTATAATTTGTTTTATTTCCCTGAAGCTATTATACTTGTACTAATAACTTGCATATAGCAACAGGCTATTTGGTTAATTAATTTACTTTTATATGCAATGCATTTTATTCATAAGTAGGCAATCAATACAATTTTTGTTAGAACGTAGAACTTTATTTCTTTTTTGTCAGTTTGTTAAACACTTCTTGGCATCGGTCATTAGCACAGGCTTCACAGCAGTGTCGCTGGTGTGGTCCACTACCACTTCTACCTTGAGGAACCTCATTAATGGGTATAATATATTGTTCCATGATAGAGTCACAATCAGATCTTTTCTCATAATATCTCAGTAAGATGTGAAGTAAAAGACGTTGAACTGTAAACCAAACTTGAACAGGACTGCACACCCCCAGATGATACTCATCATCGTTTTTACATAAATTGCAACGTTGACCAAACCGTTTCATTCTTACTCTTCCAAAGCCTTGTTTAACATCAAGCCGAACTAGAAATGATATCATACTCCATGAAGATTCCCAATTGTGTCTATGATTACATTGGTAGCTACAAGAAGAAAACAAACTTGACACATTTTTTAAACACTTCAAAAATTGACCTCGCTCGGGTTCTATAAAGCACTTCGAACCAATCTTGATTGCTTCGATAGCCCATATTCACCTGTTGTTGTAGTTTCCAAGTATGTTTCTTGGGTAAAGGATTCTGACGAAGAATCTCATCAAAAGTTGATTTGAACGATTGAAGTGACATCTGCTGGTCTAATAAATGATAAGGTTTTCGCAGTGAAAATCTGATGACCACGTTTCTGTAAATATGATGATTAAAAAAGCTAAAATATATAGACATATATTATATTATCTTAGATAAATAACAATGTATTTGATGTGTAGACAAGCACTGTCGTAATGATTAACCTATGTTTACTTGTGACAGAAAAATAATAACTAATCGTTGTATAATGCAACAAAAAATATAGACATAAACACGACAACACAAGCAAAAAGGTACATGTTCGAGTGTGGTGTGACGCGAATGTTTACGCTTTTTGATGAAAAGAAAAAGTTATGAGCCACAGGAGAACGCTTTTACCAAAATAAAATGACTGGCTAAACAGCCTAAATTCAGGATTGAAATAATTCTATCAGAGATACGAACTTGAAAAGAAATATATGAGCTCAACAGTTGTAGAAAGAAATTATAACCCGTGTAGCATAAAATCTCGTGACAAGTGCTTGAAACAGCCGAATAACTACCAAAAGCGACTGCCGAGACGGTGTGCGTTTACTCTTGGTTGTTGGCAATTTCAAAAACTAACCGCAAAATAGTCTTTAGAAACTTGAGAATGATTTATACTACATAAATCTTGATCGTATCATTTACCGGTGCTAACTAAACTATATCTAAATGATTCTATGCAATCTGATCTCGAGATGAAAGTTTATTGCAATATATTTTTTGTCAATATTAATCATCAATTGACTTTCATGAGATGTCTCAAATATCAACGGAAACTTTTAGTGTAATCCAGTCATCGACCAATATTATGCTTTGTCGAATACCAATCATTCGTTGTTTTTCTTAATTTAGTGAGAAGTTTATTCAAGTTTCAACTCTGATCTTGTTTTATCTCACATTAAAAGCTACAGTTCGCAAAAGATTTAAAATAGTAAAAAATGGTGATGGAAGTTCTCTTATTCAAAAATGCGATATTCTTAAAATCACTGTATTTTACACTAGCAAACGATTTTGTTTTCACAATATTAGTTGCTTCACTATAACATACGTTATTCTGTCCTCCGTCGACTTTTTTTTATTGTTTTTTAGTATATGAATTAGGTGACTAACGGGTGAGACAGAAGAAATTGCCGGCTCTTGCAAGGCTGTTTTTCTCCAGTTATACACGATCGAAAAGTGTGATTCTAATGCTAAAAAAATAGAGAATTTCGAGTAGATTTTATTGATATGTTCGCTTTAGAATAGTTACGTACTATTCTTTTCTAGCACTGAAAGAGTATTCAACAAAAATGCGGAAACATCGGATTTGCATCCGATTGTTATGTGTACTGCAAAAACTGAGTCGATTGATATATGTTGTGAATAATACTGAGAAAAAAGAAACTTTTAAAAAAAAACTCTGTACCCTCCCTCAGGGATGGTCTGGTCAATAATGATAACTTTTCCGATAACTCAGCCATTTCTTGACGGATTCCTCTCATCTTCGAACTCGACTGAGTTATTGATGAGGTCATTCTGTGTACAAAATTTCATGGTAATTGGATCAGCCTTTCAGAAGCTATCGTGTAAATGCCCGACCGGCCGGCCGGACACACTGACCGATTCTATAGTGTACTCACTTTTGTTTTTTGAGTACACAAAAACGTTATTCGCTCGGCACTTAACTGGAGTAAAATATCATCGTTATTTGCTACACAATATTCTATTTACTATTTAAAATCATAATGAGAAAGCCCCGAAGCGTATTTGTTTTTAGCTAGAAAACCGCATGGGTATACCGATTTCTACTATCTTTAAACCCGACTACAAAGCGTACCCAATTATCGATTTTTTGGCGCAATTTCACGGTAGTGAAAACATTTCAACATCGTTATTCAGTGACAGTAAAAGTCAATCCTTATCAAATCGAGCATCTCGTAGAGTTTGAAATTATGAAACCTTGTACATAAAAAGAATAATTTTTGTGAGTCTAAGTTTTAAGAAAATTCTTGAAGAAAAGTAGAATCCCGTGACCCATGAACGTCTTTTTATGTTTTGTAGGTTTTGAAGGAGAAATAACTAAGTTTATGGAATCCAACACACCACGAGATACACCTAAAACGTCTACATCTCTTACTGAAAAACCGAAATATTTAAACTCAATCTAGCCGGATAAGTATTGATTTTTACATGTATCTGATTTTGTAGTTGAGCAAGTGGTGTTTTTCTGCTATCAAAAACTTCTAATGTCATAGAAGAATGATACATGCTTATTCTAGAAAAAATATATCAGTAAAATCTGCTTGAAATGCTCTATCTTTTAGCATCAGAGTCAAATTTTTCAGTGGAGTCTAACTGGAGAAAAAAGTCTATCAAAAGCCGGCAATTTCTTCTGCCTCGCCCGTTATTTTCGTATTCATATGTGAGTAAAAAGTCTAATAAGGCATTGCATGTCACCGTTATATCCTGGAAACAACTTTCAATGGTATTGTTTATATGCTGAGAAAAAGAGTAAGACGGCAATCTTTTTGCATCGCTGAAGAAAGTAATAACGCCGTTTCTTCATCATTTTAGGTAGCGAATGATATGGTTTCATGCAAGTGGAATAAACGACGTTGAAAGTTATTTTTTCTTTGCTCTGTCTTTCTATAAAATCAATTTTTTGTAATAGTGAAGAACTCGCAAACGGTACTAAAAAATGTATCAGTACTGCAGTTGTCTGATTCGAGCTCCAATATAAATCAAGAGTTCATAAATACATGTCGCTGATGACTTTGAATAAGAATGAATTCAGAAATATGGCCGTCCTCCAGTCACAGTAAAAAAGATACAGAAATAAGTTTCGTTTTTAAATGTTACACTTATGTTATGTGAAGTATTGTCCTATCTACTGTAGTGCAAGTGTCATTTATCTTTTTTTCTGTTGATTAAATCTCTGTGAGTTTGATATTGAACAAATTGTCGAAAAATCTAATGTATGATCTGAAATTGTTCGAAAACAAATTATTGTTCTTATTTGTTTTGTACAATTTGGTGTTGACATTCCTTTAATAACAATTTTTGTTCGATATAATTAACTAACTATTTTGATGGCATCAACTCATGAAATTCAAACAAATGTTTGACAGTTGGATCAGTTCTAGCACGTGTTTATTTTACATTCATTAGCTTGCAGATAAAAGCAATATTCTAATTGCCCTGGTAGAACAGTATCAGGGTTACCAAACCTCCTGATTTGACCAAGGATCTCCTGATTTTTTTTATATGACGATTAACGACATTTTGAGTCTGTAGTAGTTTTAAGGAGAAGAAAACAAATCTATGGAATGGAAGCGTTGAACAGATATAGTAATCAATCAGGAAATATATTTCCTTTAATTTTTGTCGAATCAAAGTTGATTTTCAATTAAATAAACTATTTTATAGCATTTTCTTCTAGAAATCGATATATAGTAATCACAGAAATATCTTTATTTTAAATGTTTTCTCCACCACTAGCTGATATTATTGAAATATCAGATTCATTAGATGACGATTTTTCCTTACAAGTCGATCCATTAACTGTGAAAGAAAGTGTTACTATTACACCAAAAGCTACCGCAGCTGCAACATCGACCAATTAATCATCATCATCATTATCAATAGCAACAACAAATAAACGTTATTGTTCAAAATTTAAAAAAGAGTGGCTATCTAATTCGAGTTTTTCTACGTTTTTATGAGAATGTAAAACGGATCCTACACAATCTTTATGTGTTGTGTGTAACATACAATTTTCCATTCAAAACAGTGGAGTTGGTGATATTAATAGTCATAAAAAAATCGAAAAAATATCTAGAGTAGTTGAAATCAGCTGAATCTAATCGATGTAAGATTTATCCCTATTAATTTTACTAATAAAAGTACTTTTGAATTTTTTTCAACAAAATCTATTTATGAAACATTTCATATGGCCACATTGGAACTTAATAAATTGTGTGCTTCAGAAGGCATTATAGTTTTTCATGCTGTTAAGCACTCACAGTTATATTTCATCAGCATTGTATTTAGAATTTTAATTCGCCTACAAGAAAAATTTTGAGCATTAGTCTCATTATGAACACGGTCAATGTGTCTATTAGTAAAAAGTGGGTTGGTATGAGATAAAAACCATCAAATGACTGTTAAATATCAACAAAAAATATTCCTGATTTTTCTCCAGATTTAGGAAAAAAATTATCCTGAAAAACTCCTGATTTTTTACAAAAAATCCCTGTTTTTCAAAATTTGAATTTGGTAACCCTGAACAGCATAGAATGTGTCTCGTAAAAATAAATCATCAGTAGATAGATAGAAAGAAAGATGCATTAATTACATTAGATATTGATCATTTTGAATAGGTTTTCACAGGAAAACAAAAATGAATTAAAGCATAATAGTCTGCTATTTTATCGCAATGAATTTTGCTTTTGCTAGAAACAGAATATATTATTTTTAATATCACTTTAAGTATTTTTTTAATTAATTAATTTTCCTAGATTCACCTTGTTGGATCAATTACATATTGAATTCTATTAGTGAAATATAATTCGATTGCCCTTGTAATTTCTACTGTGTTGTTTACAACTTACTGATGAATAACAAATTTTCTTATCATGACAGCTTCTATCAACCGCCAATCCACCAAATTTGTTACGCTACTATTAGAAAATTAATCTTTATGTCAATCAATTCTTCTTGCGCAAGTATTCCACTATTCTGCTAGATTCATTCGGTTGATGCCATGTTATGTACAAGGAAATGCTTTAAAACGTTTTTAGAAAATACGTTTTGTTATTAATAGCTGAAGAGATTTCTATTCGGATGAGTCATACAATAGCGAGAAGTATAAAAGAATATATTTTTGTTTATTTTTGCATATCATGATATTTAGTATAGTATTTTGATGCCAAAACCATCTTCTCATATACTAATCAATAGCGCCCTCGCAAGACATGAAAACATCGATGACTGACAATATCTACCAATCATTTTGCATATTGTTTCTAGAGGTAAACAATAAACGCATCGTAACGAAATAATCTTTTGTTCTGTAGAAGTAGTAGTTGTTGATGATGAACCATTACAAAAATGATAACCATCCATCAGCATCATCATCAGCAGCATCTTCATCGTCCTCAGAAAATAATCTATTTCAACATATTCGGTAAGTAGAATATATCTCACTTTTTATTCCATACAAGAAACGCATTTATAGACAACCATCTCCAGCAACAACCCAATCAACATTATCTGGATATTCAGCAAAAAAGAAGTTAACCTATCCGAATGTACCTAAACGAACACAACGACAATGTTCATTGATAAACGAGCAGTAATTACTCGAAAATAAAAAGACACTTTAATTAAATATTTAATTAAATAAATTTTTTTCTGAAGCGATACAATTGCAACAGAATCCGAAATTCGTATTATACCATCGGAAACAAAATCAGAAAAAAATTCCACGTACTATTTTATTTTTTTTGGCGTTTTTACGCACAATAATCAGAATTTCATTTAGGCAACCATCCATACTATCCTCAACCAATCAAAATGACTATATTCGCTATAATTTAGATCTTATCACAAAATATACGTCTCCTCAAAAACTAATGACAAGTTAGTTAGCTTTTTTTTGCTGACTTCATTTGTAGTCTTTATATTCATAGTAGATATTGAAGATTGTTCTTTATTGCCGACCAAACATTACGTTAATAATACTAGCCAGAGTCAACCTACTTGTCGACCTAGAAACAAACGAACATTATCGCCTTTGTATGAAGCCAATAAAAAAATTCAGGAATCGAAACGAGCAAAATCGTTTGACGAAGACGATGCTGATGATGAACTATCTCAATTTCTTGATCATCGATGTAGCAAAAAACTGTTATCCCAAACAGCAGATACAACCGCTTCATCTCAATCTAGCATTGACGGTGAACCAAGAAAACCTACACTACGAAAGCCAACTGCTAGAAAACTAAGTAATAATCAACCAAACCCAACTGTGTATGTGTTCTTGTCAAATTAAAAATTATGTTTTATCTTTTTTAATATGATATTTTTCATTTTTAATAGATCACAAGCAATGTCAAGTACACAGCCTACGCAAAAAGTTACCATGGAATCTAATGAACTACTTATTATAGAACCCGATATTGATACAGAAGAAGACGACATAACGGACCGTGAAGGAGCAAGTAAATCAATAGAAAGTTCTCAAGTATCAAGTAAAGAACCATCAAGTATATTCTACTTCAGTGAAAAATAAAGAATTTTAATAATTATAATTATAATTTTTCTTAGATCAATCAATATTAAATCAAATAATGATATCTCCAATTCGTTATGTATGCAAGAATCAAAATGATTCAGCTAGTCAAAAAAGTATTTTGTTCACACCTGTAAAAAATACGAATTTGACATCGTCACCATCGAGCAGTATACTTAAGAAAGTTCTTGAAAATTCCACGATGAATTTTTCACCTAATTTAAATCTCCGAGAAAGAAGAGATTCATCAACATCGTCAAGTTCATTTCTTTTTGAAACTCCATGTTCTTCATTTTCACGTGCACCAGTAGAAAATCTACTGAATTCATCAATGATAATGAAGAATGATCATGAAACTCAAACTTTAACACCCTCAGCTAGTGATATGATTCATCAATTAATATTTAAAATGAATGAAACTCAAAATAAAGTTGATTATAATGCAGTTGAAATTTCCAAAAAATTATTCCATAAATATGCACTGTCATTTTCGACTGATAAATATCAAACAATAAGTTCATTAGTTAAAAAACAATTTTTAAATATTGGCCGATATGAAATGGAAACGTTTTTTCCAGTGAATAGCAATAGAGTAAGTTATAATCAATATAATATTTCCTTATGGTTTTTATCTGTATGTATCGTTTTTTATTCAAGATTTCCACAATCTATGCCTGTGATATATGCTTAAAGCATTTCAACGGTAGTTCATTGGCGTATCAACGACATGTTGCTAAATGTTTACTTGTTCAACCACCAGGTAAACTTGTTTTTAGTGAAAATGATTTAGCGATATTTCAAATTGGTAACAAAAACTGCACCATGGAACAACGTATTTATATCAAATCATTATGTCGTATTAGTCGGTTATTTATTGATCCAAAGAAAAGTATTGATGATACAAAACTTGATCGATTTATTTATTATATTCTATGTCGTAGAGATCCGATTTTATCATCATGTCAGGTAAATGTAATTTACTGTAGTGACAAGCATAGAAGAGAATTGCTTTGTGTGGAAATATTTATTCATGAATTCTTTCTATTATGTTCTAAAATAAAAATTTATGCGATGTGCTGTGTTGATCAATTCAGTTCGAGAGTGATCTTTCTATAGGATAATTGATGTTTATTTTGTTAACTTATTAGTAATCAGATATTTGATCGTGAGTAGATTACTATAAATAGCTATGGAAGAAAAATTATATGATTGAAATCCTTTTCGATAAATAGCAGCTATACAATGATATTTCCAAATTTGATAAAATTTATACATGTAAGAAACTAACTATTTCTAAACATTGTCTTTCTATGTAATAACTCGAATTGAATTAGATTTTTAATATCTTCTTATTTACAACCGTTTAAGTAGTTTCAATTTTTCTTTCAAATATTCTCAATTTGCAACATAAATAAATCATTCGTTATACTTATCGAATAAAGTTCGTTTTCAATACGTTTTACGATGCTGCTGCACAAAAATATAATTTAAACAGTCTTAATACTTTTTATCATCTGAATCAATTAAGAACTTGATTGTGAAGAATTTTATTGACTATGAACTATTTTAAGCAATTAAAAATTGAAATCATTACTTTTTTGAAATTTCTTCTATGACTAACAGATCAACTGAAAATTAATAATAGCGTTATTAGATCAGTAAAGTAGAACATATTCTAAGGCTACAATATGAAAAATTAGTAAATTTAACTTTATTATTTTTCAAGTATTAAGTATCTGAAATAAAGAGTAAATTAACGTTAATTAATTAAATCTAATATCATTTTTTCTCGTTTTTTGTTTCTAGCCTTCAGTCTATCGTTTCATTGGTTATTTTTCTAAACAAGTCAATCAACATGCTCAACAAACCATTAATAATGTCTCTTGTTTATTCATTTTACCTCCTTTTGCTCAACGTCAAGAATACAATCAGTTGTTAATTGCTTTCAGCTATTTTCTTGTCCGATCGAATGCTTCTGAAAGTCTGATGCATAGTTCACCGGCTCGTCCACTTGATATTTCATCGTTGTCAGCTTTTCGCATCTATTGGTATGATATTATATTCGATTATTTAATTAATCATAATCAATCATCGATTAAAAATATTACACTTGATGCTCTTGCCCGTCAAACATTTATTCATCCAAGAGATATGCTTTTAAGTTTATATTCCAATGGTTCTATTGTTCCACATCCTACAGATAAATCATGTGTTTATCTACGCAACAATTCACATCCGCCAACAACGTCATTAACTCATCTACAGATTATAAAAAAATTATATATGAATTTGAAATCGACTGATACTCATGAAGAGAAAACTGTGGCGATCTCAAATGACAAGTAAAAAGAAAAGAAAAGAAAACTAATAGACGAACCTTACCATAGTATATACGTGAACGTATTTTCAGGGTATCTTAAAATGATCTTCAAAGACTTCAGCTGCTGATAGTTTACTGCAAAAATTTTGAAACTCAAATTCATTCTCTGTACATGCTTCTCATAGAAACGCCCACGTACTTACTGAATGACAGATCCAAGTTTTAAAATAAGCATAGAGTCTGAAGTAAACTACCGTTTACGCTAAGATCTCATAACTTGATTTATTAAAATGTTAATCTCTAGATTAAGCTATCACACTACCGTTTTAAGAGCCATTGTTTGCTTGCTTTTGACTAACGAAGCCTTTTTCCGAAAAAAACGTTTATGTAATTATATACATGCTTCACTCAAACGTAAATTCCAAATTTTCTTGAAGCTCTGAAAATTTTCGATAGTCAAATAGACAAGCTACTCTTGAATAGTCTCGTGAAATTCCACTCTATCTCGAAAGCAAAAATAGAAACACATTTGTCTGGTGATCCGTTTTTTGTTTACCATTAAAATGGACGCATGTCCATATATTTCATAATTTATCTTCGTGTATCATACTGAGAATTGTAATTAGAGGTGTCAGCCGTACGGCTGAGCCGCCGCAGCAGCCGATTTTTCAATAATATCAGCCGCCGCAGCCACCAAATTAGTAGTAATTTTAAGAATTTTGGGGGAGCCGCCGCTGCGAAAAAACAAGCTTAGCCGTTGCGCCGCTGCAAGAGATAAAAATTTTTGATAGCGTTATTTGCCGCCGCTGACATCAATACATATGCGATCGAATCGAAGAATTTTCTTTTAATTTTCGTCAGTGAATTTTTAACTGAGCCGTCGCCGCCACATAAGGACTCACAAATATCAGCCGACGCCGCCGCTGTGAAAAAAATTTTAAGAATTTGTAGCAGCCGCCGCTGAAGACATTACTCATTCAAATAACGAGCCGCTGGAAATCTTCAAAAATTGAAAACTGTTGCCCGCCGTCGCCGTTCAACCCTTCGGCTGACACCTCTAATTGTAATAAAACGATGCATCAAATTCGGAAACATCTTCATCTACACTAGAACATATTTCCTTGTCGAATTAGCTTCTAAAAAGAAATTAATCTTGTCTGTTAGAAATGAAATAGTAGTTGTGATTTTATTATTTTGTTCCGTTAAAAATCGGGATCGACTTTACTCATAAGTTCATCTCATAATTTGCGCTAGAGTTATATACGTTGGTATGGTTTCTATGTAGTAAAAAGACATTGAAGTTTCAATTTACTAATTAATTAATTTTTCTTTTAGTAATGATAAAAATCATGACAGTGGTATAGAAGAAATTGTGATTGATTGACTCTTTATTCTTTTGTCATATATTCAATGATTATATTCCCTGTTTGTTGTATTGCCTATGGTGTATTGTTTTCGATGACTGGAATCCATAAAAAAAAAGAAAGAATTATAAAGCCATTTCCATGTGACAGAAGACAAATCTTCTTCGCATACAGATAACTTTTGTGTCATATTCTTTATCTTTGATGATTTATTGTTCATCTTTTCGGTGTATTTATATTCTTTGTTTACTCTCAATCAACTTTATAAGAAAAAAATAGAATAATAAAAAATGATTTAAAAACAAACTGTTTTTCTCTTTAGAACATTTTACATACAATGAGAGCATAATTGAATTGATGGAAATTTATTGATAATAAGCATGAGATCTGCGTAATATTCATTCTATTATTCTCCTTCGATACGAGTGTTAGTCAACCTTGATATCTGTTGCAGTCGCATGAATCGGATTAATCTAAACATGCAGCAACATGTTCATCCTTTTCCAATTACCAAATGAGAAGCATTATCTGTACTACTCCCTACTGTTGATGCGTTTAGTGTCATGAGAAGGAAACGAGAGAAATTGTGAAGATATGCACGAACTGAAGGTCATGACTGTCTCTGTCATAGATCTACACACGAGAGATGGCGAAGTTATTATCGCTTGCTAAAAACACAGAGCACTAGATTAGTTTTGCAATTAGGATTAATCTTATGGGTTTGGTTTATATTTTTCTAATTTTAGATTGTAATTTGTATAGAGTAAGAAACGCGTGCAAGTATAACTATGCCCGTGTTTCATACAAAAACAATCGAAAGTATTTTAGAACCAGTAGCACAACAGGTTTGTTATTTTAAAATAATTATTACCTAAATAGATTAATTATGAAAACATTTTTTTGTTGTTGGCAGGTTTCTCGGCTTGTTATTTTACATGAAGAATCAGCAGACGATGGCGATCTTATGCCTGATCTTTCAAAACCTGTTCAAATTGTTAAATCAGCTGTTGACAATCTTGTCAAAGTTGGTCATGAAACATGTTCAACTAGTACAGATGACCTCTTGCAAAATGAAATGCCGCAAGTATTAGTACGTGTTAATCAAGCGTCGGCGCTATTGATTGATGCTGCTCACATGTTTAAATATGAGCCATGTTCAATAAAAGGACGTCAAATGTTAATCGAAGGAGCACGATGTGATTATATTAAATATTTGTTTTTGATGTTATTCATTCTATTTAATCATGTACTATAGATATTCTACAAGGTGTATCAGCGCTACTTTTGACATTTGATGAATCTGAAGTGCGAAAGATCGTTATCGTATGTCAACATGTTCTCAATCATTTGGCACATGTAGAAAAAATCGAAACAATTGAGCAACTTGTCGATTTTGTTAAGGTAAATGTTAAGGTTTGTTTTTATATTCTTTTCTTGCAATCACAAGAATGTTCGAACTATAACTCCAAAACTTTCTTCTTTTGTTTAACTCGTAGAAAGATCCGTAAGTACAAATCTGTTTTGCTATTATTAATTCCAAATGGCATACCAAAATGGATAGCAGACGCGCTTCAATATCATACAAGCTACATCAGGAAATGCTCTTTCTGTTTCTCTCTCCGGTGGTAAAAATAATGCTGTCTATTTTGGCTAAATTCTATCGTTCTTCCGCTAACAGCATCATACTACAAGCCTGATCAGAGTTATTTATTATGATATATATATAACGATAATGGTAAAACAAGGATGTACGATGTTGGGTTAAATACTGAGTTGGGGTTTACTGATACAAGATTGAGTCGAATACTGATTTTTATTGATGTAAACATTTACCACAATATTGAGATAAGCGGTATTTTTAACAGTACGTTTTGATACTGAGCTAATGATATTATTGATATGTGAAAACAATTCTTGAAAGAATAAAACTTGCAGTTACAATCTTGTGTCAATTATGGCATACGTGTATTCGAATAGACACAGTTGAAGCTCTAAAAAAACTCAGATTGTTACGTTGTATTACTTAGGAAATTCAAAGGTCCCATGCCTAGCAATAGCTGGTGTAAACATTCTATCAAAACTTATTCATAACGTTTATAATGGTCACTGTTCTATAGAATTTCGTAGAACTCATATCAAAGTTTCATTCTGATGAAACGAATTTTGAAGGGATGGAAAAAGCAAACCTGTGAACTATTTCATATGATATTGAAGCGCTTCTTTAGCTACTCATTTTTGGTATGCTCTAATCAGCTTTCGATTGATGATGATCTTACAGTTTGATTTTACTACTAGTAAACAACGAAAAAAGAAAATCCAATTAATATAATTTAGAATTTGACACCGATATTAACTCGAATGAGTAAAGAAGTTGATTTACGTACAAAAGAGTTAACTCATGCTATTCATCGTCAATTATTAACTCGATCACTTGAACAAGTTAAAACTTTAACACCATTACTAATCTCAAGTATTAATGTTTATGTAACATCCAAGCATACAGGTGACAATATATTTGATAGTATTCTTTTTTTTTTATTTAGCTTCATACATTATAATCATTGTAGGTGGCCATTGTATTGTTGAATCAATAGAAAATCGTGATTATGTTTTAAATAAAATGAGTGATGAACTCGGTGAAATAATTCGAATACTTCAATTGACAACAATTGATGATGTTCTATTAAATGAATTCGATGAAGATGAACAGCATAATCTAAAAAAACTTCTTGTATGAATTTTGATGGTTGAAATTAAAAATTTTCCTTACGCTTTCTTTTATGACACAATAGAAAACTCTTGGTAATCGTTTATACCAAGCCAAAAACTGGTTATCGAACTCTCAAGCATTGGGAGGTACATTAGCTGAACGATCTCTGCGCATGGTTCTTGATGATTTACGTACACATATTACTGAACATTGTCTCGACGAAAAACAAGCAGATGTCTTAATGCAAAAAGTTGATGCTATTTCACAAATGATGAATCGTTTATTACAATTGAGAACGCAATCGAAAGTAAACAATGTTTACTTTGGTTTTTAAAACCTATCTTTAATTTGTTTTGTTTTTTGCTTTGAACTAGGGTGATACTAGTGAAGGAGCTAGTCTTTCGCGTAACATATCTCAACAACTTGATGATCTTTATCAATCATTGGAATATTCAATCAATTTATTAAGATACACATCTGATTATCAACGACCAGCAACTACGGTCAATGGAAAAGTTGATCAAACAAAACGATGGCTTTCACAACCGGATTTAGATCAATTTGGATTTGGTATGTAGACCTTGAGTTTTGAATAAAAATAAACATTATAAGTAGACACGAGTATTCGATTAGTGATACGACTTAGTTTACCAATTTATGTCCCATGAGGAAATACTCTCCTGACTATCGGATTAATTTTCTCTTGCGACTGTTTACCAGTGCGATCGATCGTGATGAAGAACGAGAGATTTTGCCTTTCTGGTCTTCACTACATCAGTTCTGACTATTTTACTTAGTTTCTACCCTATGAATATAATAATTCGGGATAGTTATTCGACTTTCGAACTGATCCTTTTTTCTGCAGCAAATCAATCAAAATATCTTAGTTTACTGTCTCAAAACTTAAGATACTATATACGTATATGGACCAAATTTCCATTCGGAATTCAATTACACGTATTATATTTCTCGAGAGGACACAATCGAAGATCGAAAAATATGACTTTCCGACTACTCATGATCGATCGTATTGAAGTAGTGAAAAATAAAAGTCATTGAACAGTTGAAATTCTTTTCTAGTTCAAAATGACTTTGACTAAATAACAAGATGCTGAGAGTCAAATTCTATTTGATACCGATAAATAAACGACAGCGTTTTAGATCATCTTTTAACAATTGAATTTCTTGTAATTAACATTTAGGTGAATTTGCTATTCGAAGTCTTGTTAAAATCGGCCGTCAATTAGTTAGCATTTGTGAATTATCTTATCGTCGTGATATTCTTGAATGCTGTCTTAATATCGATAATTTATTAGCTAAATATAAAGATTTATTACGGCGACGACTAGTAAGTTTCAATTTTTTGACCTTCGAAAAGCTCAAGAAACATTCTTCTTTTGTTTGTGAAGCCGATCAACGGGCCAGAATGTGTAATGATAAGTCGTTCTTTATCTTTACATATCCATCAATTACAACGTCGTCTTCAAGAAGCTATTGTCTACCAAGTATCCGATGATTTTATGGATATTACATCGGCAATAAAAACACTAAGACAAGCATCACTTATATCATCAAGTATTCATAAAATAGAATAAAACGAAGAAGAATTAAAATCTAATTGATTGTTTTTATATCATAGATGAACCAAGTCGAAAAGAAGTATTTCAAGCAACTGTACAAGAATTCATAAATCATTCGTCAAGTTTAATACAAACAGCACGTTTAGCTGCTAATGGAACATCATGTCGATCAAAATCGACAATTGAAACAATTAATACAACTGCTGCACAAGTTCGTCTCATACTTCAATACATTGAAAAATTATATTGAATGCTATCTTTTCTTTTGTCAATTAGATCAGCGATCTGACACCTCAAGTTATTTATGCAGCTCGTATTGTCTTCGGTGATCCAAATAATTCACCAACAACACGAGAACATTTTGATCTCCTTCGTGATCAATGGTTAACACAAATCGAATATTTAAGAAGTCAAGTTGATGACGCTATACCATCAGATGAATTTGTTAAAGCTTGTGGTTTGTTTTCTTTATGATTTACTGTTTTTTTTTTATTTTCGCATAACATAAATATAACAATCATTTTCTAGAAGAAGCAATTATTCATGATACACAACAAACTGAAAAAGCTATTGCTGATTTGAATTCTTCAATTCTCATTGATAGTACATCGAATATAATTCGACGTGCTAATCGTATTCTACTTGTAACATATCAAGAAATTGAAAATTCAGAAGATTCAGCATTTACAACACAACTTCAAAATGCATCAGATGCATTTAAAGAAAGTAAATTAATTACGAAAGTATTATTGGTATTAAAAATCCTATCATATTCGTTTTGTTTTGTTAAGCTCTGTCTCCTATGATTGCTGCAGCTAAACAATTAGCTCTAAGTCCTGATAATAAAATAGCACATTCACAATGGCAACAAACAAATAATGAAGTATTATGAAATAATGTTTTTAAAATTTCAATAATTTTCCTTCTTTCTATTCAAGTTAATTGATGCTATTGGAAATGTACGTGAAGCACTTCAACCATTAACATCAAATCTTATCAATGATCTCGAACATATTTCATTTAATCATAGCAGCCGTAGTGGTAATTTTGATATTTTTAGGATTATTGTTTTTGTGTTTTTCCTAATTAAATACAATAAATTTTAGCTTCAAGATCTCCGCCTCCTCGACCACCATTACCATCCGATGAAGAATTATCAGCATCGGCTGCTCCACCTCGACCACCTTTGCCAATTTTAGAACCAACCAATGATGAAATTTATGATAAAGATTTGCCCATGCCACAATCGAATCAACCAATTTTAGTTCGTATAACCCCAAAAAAGCAAAAAAAAGAAATATCGAAACCAACGAATTAATTTGAATATTTTTAGATGGCTGCTCATGATTTACATATGAATATAAAACAATATTCAAGTCATGATAATGAACTTATTGCATTGGCAAAAAAAATGTCACATTTTGTAGTACAACTAAGTCTTCTCATTCGGTAGATTATTTATTAGAATATGTTTTTATTGATTTAGTTTTTATTTTATTTCATTAGTGGTGAAGCAGGAACAAAACGAGATTTAATTTCGATATCAAGAGAACTTTCAGATATGTCTGAATATATGACATATTTAGCAAAGCAATTAGCAAGTGAATGTACAGATCGACGAATACGAACTGTTCGTATTTTCGCTATTCATTTTAACAAAAGACAGAAACGAATTTCTTTCATATTTTTAGCATTTACTTCAAGTCAGTGAACGTATACCAACAATTGGCACACAGCTTAAAATCTTGTCCACCGTCAAAGCAACTATGTTTGGAATTTATGGTAATTAAATTTTTATGGACAGATTTATTTTAAAAATTTGAAATATATAGGTGTTCTACCACGTAGTTTAAGTAAAAATGAACGAGCAATGATTCGTAAGAGGAAAAAGAAGCATGAACCATCGATTTCCTGCCCGTGCTTATACTTATCGATAGTTAAATTTCTTCGACGTTCTATTCTCCCCATAGAAATGTTTATATCGGGGGGGAAAGAGCGCAAAATATTGTGCGTCTATTCTTTTTTTTTATGCCAGACAGAATAACAAAAGAAGATAAATGTTCTCATGTCTAAAAATAACTTCATCTGACAGAAAAGAGAAATGAAGTATTAATTTGCATGAATGATTCAAGTGAAACCTGACGCGATTCTTATTGAGAATGTTTTCATATAAATCGAAATAGACGATGCTTGATTCAATACGAATTAATTTCATTGAAACCTTGTTTTGGTATATCGAAAAGAGAAAAAAAGAATGTAATTTTTAATAGATAGATTCCAGATTATGGCAATATGGCTTTTGTTTTTTTATTTGTATTCTTTGTTGAATCTCATTAAGATCATTTGAGAAGCTCAAAGACAATTGATTAAGTCCTTCATGTTCTTTTTCTAATTATAAATAGAAGCCAACCTATAAAATTGCTATCAATAGCTATTGAATAAATTTTTTTGTTACAGTAAATTTAACTCAGCAGTGTCTCATCCCATTAGTTTTCGAGTAGACCAATTTGTTATTTTGAGTGGGAAGAAAATTTTTTCTGAAGAAATATGAAAGTAGAAGTTTCTCTTTTTGATGTCTCCTTTTACATGCATGATACAACTTACGTTTGAAGTTTTTCTTTTTATGAATACTTCACATAAAACACTATTAAATGAGCTTTTTTAATATGAATTAAAACATCTTGTTTAGATTCAGAAGAAGATGCTGAAGCAACTGAAATGATTATTGGTAATGCTCAAAATTTAATGCAATCTGTTAAAGAAACAATAAAAGTAGCTGAAATCGCATCAGATAAAATTCGTCATACGGGCAATGGTATTCGTCTGCGATGGATGAGGCGAATTGATTAGGAAAAAAGAAGAGAAATAATATTTTTTTGTTTTATAAATATTTGCATTAAATAATTTTTTGTATTATGTAATAATAGTAGAACAAGTATTTTATTGTTATTAATTTATTCAATTTACCTTTTTATAACTTTCTTGTCCTGTTTTTTTTTTTATATAAAGATTAATATATATAATTATATAGAAACTAATAATGTGGGCATGTCCTCTACTGCATAAATCATATTCATCAGCTAAACTAGCAGCTGTGTCTATTGAAAAGGTAACTATTTAGACATATGTCGTGACGTTGAATTTCCTTTTGGAACATTTTCTATAGGCTAAATTACAATCATTTGTTTCTAATTTGACATCATCTGAGCAATTTTCGCGTCTATCCGATGTTGTTCCTTACGAAGGATCGCGTCTATTCGATTTTTCATCTTATTTTCAACATTTCTCATCAATTACAACTGAAATTAAGCCGCCTATGTTATTTGGGCAAACACTACTTATAGCTGACACGATACCATCAACTATGAAATTACTTAATGGGTGAGTATATATTTATTTATAAAATCAATGCAAACGACAAAGAGTTTATTTGACTTCTCATCCTTTCTGCAAATTTTCTTTTTTTTGTACGTGTTTGCGTTTTCTTTTTTTCTGTGATAATTGTTAAACTCGTAGTTATGATGGATGATAAAACGGCGGCTATGGTGGAACTTTGGTTATGTTACCTGAAAATATTCTCCGGGTGACAACAACTTTATACATCAAGAAGTAGAATAGTAGACGTGAGTATTATTCTTTAAGATTAGATTTATATAATGAGCAGCGTACAAGTTTTTTTCATATTCTGTTCTCTTCTCTAGGCTTCGCAGCTAAATTCCATTAGTTATTCTTAGTCGGTTAATGTAAAGCAGCAAACGCCAGCTGCTTCATTGTAAAATGTAACTTTTTTTTCTTCTCTTCTTTCGTCTATCATTTCTATTTCGTCCATTCAGTCTAACGTAAACACATTCAGACAAAATGTATACTAGCAAGCAACATCTACGTTCTGTTTTATGTGGGGGAAGCAACGGCATATCTTTTAGAATGTTGTGTTGTACTAAGCGCTTATTAAACTGTTTCTTTCCTACTTAGTTATTGTATTTAACCCTTTTATATACAATGAGGCATATCTATATCATAAAATCATCAGGAGTATTTTAAGTACGAAATCGAATATACTGAGATTCTTTTGAAGACACATATAAATATATACATTTATTTATATCTTTATAAGTAGAAAAATAACTTCAACATAGTTTATGACAAATTAATTGAGAAATAAAAAGGAATATTTTAACCTTTTTCTTTCCATTTTGAAATATTATCAAGTCATCAACCAACATCTTTCTTTTCTGTATGAACATCGGGTCGCTACGTACGACTTTTCTTTTGTCTCGTTCTCTTATGTGTTAGTCACCTTCTCGCCAGTTGTTATCACACTCTTGCCATCGAACTAAAATAAATCACGCCGATTATTATTATCACCAACATAACGATTAGTACGTCTGGTTGAGTTTTACTCTGTATGTATTGTTAAGATCGATCGTATAGTTAGATCTTTGCCCTAACGAGCAAGGAAAAAACGGAATTGGTGGAGTTGTTTCTTAATGCGAGAAACATTTTATTTCTTTGCTTTACATGAAATGGTGCCCGCAGCTTTTTCTTTGCTCGTTCTTTTCTAACTCGTCTATTATAGAAGTGTTGCTGTTCTTCATAGTGTGATGAAGAAGATCCAATAAAAGACAGAACGACAAGAAGAAGAAGAAAGTAAATACGAGAACAAAACTAGTGATGTAATGATAGATTTGGCTCCTTTATTATACCATTGCCATCGCCCTTCTCATTAACAAAACCGTACATTTTTTTTCTTTTTTCTTTCCCCTGATTATGCACAAGAGAGAAAGAAACGAACAATAACACCCCCAAACCGCAAGAGTGTCTCTCCATTGACTTCTATCTTTATATTTATTCATTGAAAAGTAATAGTACGTAATCTTTTTTGCCTTGTTTATTCAAATAACTAAGATAATATCTCTCTGACCTACACACGTATACACAATATAGTCTTTTCTTATCTATACATTCACATTGGTTATTGTTAACAATGGGCGAAACTGACTAATGAATTAGCTGAATACTTTGATATATCGTATGCACAAAGAGAATAAAGAGTAATGTGAAAAAGTACGCTATAACCAAGCCCTTTCTTCTTCCTCTTATAATAGCAGAGCAACAAGGTTAAAATACGGTCGAGGTCAATTTTTTCTCTTTATTTCTTATCGTTCAGTAGGTCATTGTGAGGGTGAATCTAACCGAACAAGCTGCGTCTTTTCTTCCTTTCTATGTATTATTTTTAATTGATTTTTTAATAAAGGACCCCGCCGGATAAAAAAATTTTCTTGAATCGTTTTCATTTTTATACAGTATTGTAGAGCTCGTTGAGATACATCAAATGGTATATAGGAAGTCAAGTTTTCATAACGGTTTTGTGTAGTTACAGTCGATATACTATCTATACTGGCATAGGGATTTGTATGGTACTAATAGAAAATGTACACTCCTATGATCATCTCTAATGAGTATATACATATTTAGTTTTGTAATTCAGTTCGATACAGTTATGAGTGGTGCTCAATTTTTCATATTTGATAGTTTTCATTACTACTGCTTTCCTACTGAAAAGAGTCATCTTCTATCGATGAATGACATTTTTTCATCAAAATGCACTTTACTGTTTTCAGTCCTGTGCAGTAGAACAATGTGGTAGCAACGTGAAAGTTTCCTAAAAACTGTCTGTCACTGAGCTCTACATATTTGGTAGACCCAGTTTTTCTGAGCTGCAGGGGCTCATCGGTAATCTTGAAAATAGTGGTAAAAAATCGGCTATTTTGCCATACAGAGGTCATACTACGTAGACGATATTCCAACAATGTGCAGCATAAGTTCTGGAAATTTTTATACATCTATAATCAGCAAACATTCCGCAACAATTTGACGTCAATAGATCCTTTTGAAATCGAAAAAATAATTTTCACTTTTATCACCCTGGAGGGGGGTACAGGAAAGCGAAAAATACGATTTTTGAGATAAAGAGGATCTATTAGTAAATTCTTACAGAGTTTCAACAGTAGACACAGTATGCCTGATTGAAATTGAGTTTTGTAAAAGAAATGTCAAAAATTATAGGTCTACTATTTATAACTCACACCCTGTACCCCCCTCCAGGGTGATAAAAGTGAAAATTATTTTTTCGATTTCAAAAGGATCTATTGACGTCAAATTGTTGCGGAATGTTTGCTGATTATAGATGTATAAAAATTTCCAGAACTTATGCTGCACATTGTTGGAATATTGTCTACGTAGTATGACCTCTGTATGGCAAAATAGCCGATTTTTTACCACTATTTTCAAGATTACCGACGAGCCCCTGCAGCTCAGAAAAACTGGGTCTACCAAATATGTAGAGCTCAGTGACAGACAGTTTTTAGGAAACTTTCACGTTGCTACCACATTGTTCTACTGCACAGGACTGAAAACAGTAAAGTGCATTTTGATGAAAAAATGTCATTCATCGATAGAAGATGACTCTTTTCAGTAGGAAAGCAGTAGTAATGAAAACTATCAAATATGAAAAATTGAGCACCACTCATAACTGTATCGAACTGAATTACAAAACTAAATATGTATATACTCATTAGAGATGATCATAGGAGTGTACATTTTCTATTAGTACCATACAAATCCCTATGCCAGTATAGATAGTATATCGACTGTAACTACACAAAACCGTTATGAAAACTTGACTTCCTATATACCATTTGATGTATCTCAACGAGCTCTACAATACTGTATAAAAATGAAATCGATTCAAGAAAATTTTTTTATCCGGCGGGGTCCTTTTTGTTAAACAATTTATCGGTAATTTAAAACGTAAAAACGTATTCCGTGAAAGACAATACTTCTGTATTCTTTTGTTTTCGTTTGTTGAATGATTTGTTTCGTGCAATGATTCTTTTTTCTAGTTGAAATTTCTGAGCTATTATAAAAAACAAATCTCATGTCGACTAATCCAGCAATTAGTCGTTTACAGTCAGGTGATGGAGCTGACGATTCCACGCAACGTGGTTGTACATCATGGTTACTTATATCATGTATTATTCTTACTATAACAACATCTTTTGTCTTTGGTTGGGGTTTAGCTGCACCAAACATGTACAATGATTTTACGGAACCATTTCTAAAAGGCAAAGATTCATGTTCGGTTGACGTACGAGCACATCCACTTTCAAATGAAGCAGCAGTAGTACCGATGATCGTAGTAGACAATAATGCAGTCGCCGATGGAACTAACGGTGCCAATTCTGAAAAACGAATGAACGAAAATGGTGATGCTGCTGCAGATGAAAAATCTGATGATCTGCCAAAGAAGAAGCATGGAGTATTTAACTTCTTTGCTGAATTAGTCAAAGGTATTCCACAAACACTATTTCTTATTGGAGCATTTATTGGAGCAATTACTGGCCCTTCTTGGGTAAAAGTTTGCGATCGTAAACGTACAGTTTTTATCAACTATATATTCTGTTTTGCGTCGTCACTTTGCGTTTTATTGGGAAGTGGTTTTCAAAAACCATGGTTATTTTATCTCAGTCGTCTTTTACTCGGCTATCAAGGTAAAATATTAATTTCTATGGCAAAAAAAAATAAAATAAATCATTTTCTTTTTCAGGTGGAATGGCCTGTGCTGTCGTACCACCATTTATTAATGAAATCTCCTCACAACGTGTTCGTGGTACAGCTGGTGCCAGCTTTCAACTTTCATTAACAATCGGTATTCTCGTTGCACAAATTGTTGGTTTACCATTTATTGCTGGCACATGTGAACGTTGGGGTTGGGGTCTTTCCATTGTCTTTTTATTACCGTTGGCTGGTGTATTTGTTTTATTTCTTATACCAAATTCACCAACACAAATGATTGGAACATATAACAATGAAGAACAAGCCACAATCGATCTAAAAAAATTACGTGGAACAGATAATGTTCAAGCTGATCTTGAACTTATACGAGAACAAACAAGACAAACAGGTGGTGGCAAAACAGAATCATTATCAATTCTTCAAGTAATAATAAAATAATAACATAATTTTAAATATATTTATATATCTGAATTGATTTTTATGATTATTAGGTGCTTAAATCGACCCATTATCGTTGGCCAATGTTAACAACTGTCGTTCTTCAATTTGCCCAAGCATTATCTGGAGTCAATGCCGTATTTTTTTATTCATCAAAAATGTTCGAAAAAGCTGGTATTCCAAAAGGCTATATCCCATATGCTAATATTGGCACAGGTGCTATCAATGTACTTGCAACAATTGTCTCACTATTTTTAATTGAAAAACTTGGCCGTAAAAAATTAGTTATCTATCCAATGATTGTTATGATTTTTGTATTTGGTGTATTAACAGCACTTGTTGAATACAATGAAAGTCGAAATAATGCAGTTTTGGGTTTCATATCAGTTATATTTATTTTACTATTTATCGTTTGCTTTGCTGTCGGTCTTGGTCCAATTCCATTCTTGTATGGTAGTGAAGTTTGTCGACCAGAAGCTCGAGATAGTGTTCAATCATTGGGATTAATTGCTAATTATATTGGAAATATTCTTTTATCATTATTTTTTCCTGCGCTGAATTCAATGCTTGGTGGTTACGTATTTTTAATCTTTGTGTTATTTGTTGCTGCTCATGTTGTTTTTCTCTGGTTTAAAATGCCAGAAACGAAAAATAAATCAATCGAACATGCTGAACAATTTTGGAACATAGCTGTTAAAAATCCAAATGAAAAACTTTTATCAGCAACAGCTAACGCATAAGAATTCAGATAGAAAAATGGTTTCTAATAATTTAACAACAACAACAACTATACTTCTTTCGTCAATTAGTGTAGTTCTTAGTTAAATATTTTGTGTGCTCTTCTCTTTTTTTTTCATCACACTGTTCTTTGTCGAAAGATAGAAAGTTAAAAACAAATTTCATACAGTGACACTAATTATAAGTGTGTTTGTCTGTATATTGTTACGTCTCCATTTGCTTGATCCTTATATTACGGTCAATGTCGTTTGTATTTTTCTTCTCTTTTCTTTGTGCTGCATTTTTCTCCTTTCGAAACTATCATGTTTGCATAAAAACAATATAAGATAAATCTAATGACATTTGCTCAATTGTGCTTTTTCTACAAATGGAGAGGCAAAAAAAGAAATATGTATATTTCATTTAGCTGTAATTTGTCATCAAATGGAGCTATTGTTATAGCGCGAGAACAATCTGAAGGACGAGGTAGCTCTAAAAGATAATCAGACGGAAGAATTTTTATCTCTCATTATTTATTTACAGGACGTGGAAATAATCAATGGACATCGCCGTTGGGTTGTGCCATGTTCAATGTTTATTTTGACATTAATTTACAATCGTTATTAGGTCAACGTCTATCTCTTTTACAACTTTTAGCTAGTGTTGCTGTTGTACAAGCTATTGAAAGAACATCAGACTACAAGGTATGCTAATAATGATTAAGTTCTGATAATCACTATTCTAAATGATTAAAAATTCTTTTTCAGGTACTTAATGCTCAAATTAAATGGCCGAATGATATTTTTATTGGAAATGATTTTGCTAAATTAGGTGGCATTTTAGCAACATCATCAATATGTGACAACTATGCATCAATTAATCTTGGTTAATACATTTATATATGATGAAAAAGATTTTGCATTTTTAGTCAATATTTCTCTCTCTCTCTCTCTCTCTCTTTCTAGGCATCGGTGTTAATATATCGAATATTCAGCCATCTGTATGTTTGAATAACGCGATCGATCAACAACAATCAACGTCGAATTTAACTCATTTTACTATTGAGGAATTTATTGGTCGTACAATTGGTTTTTTTCAAAAATGGATCTCACAATTAACACAATCAGATAGTGTTAAAGCTACTGCTGCTATTCACGATTTCTATCAATTTTATGAATCTCATTGGATGCATCAGTAAGTTATAATGAAGACAATTATTTTTGTCATTATTTTGTTTATAGAAACAAAGAAGTTTTTGTTGATAAATGGCAAGAAACAGTAATCATTGTTGGCATTGACGATTATGGATTTTTAAAAGTTCGAAAATCATCGAATGGTGAAATCGTAACCTTACATACAGATGCACATAGTTTTGATGTACGTCAAAGTATTATTCGCGAAAAAGCTATGTAATTGTTTTGACTTCCATGAAAAAATAAAACATTTGGTTGAATTCAAATTTTAACTCAGTACTTTGTATGATGAAATTAACATTGATAAAAAATATTAAGATTAATGACCTTCTGTATAGAAGAAACGTTCTATTTCCAAAAGATGTAAATAATTGGAAAAATTACTTTGTTCTTTACGATGAGAAATACTACTCGAATTTGAAGTAAACATAGTAATATAATAAAGGACTGTTCGAATACATACAAAGCAAACGGTTGCGAATATATTAGATGTTGATAACAACTGTCAAAATGAATTAAAAAGACGCATACAATCTGTTTTTCTTGTTATATAATAGACAAAAAGAAATGCAATAGGTCACCTTCAACGCTCGACAAATCTGTGATAGTGCTTCTGCACAATTATTATACATGAAACAGTCAATATACAGCATTGATATTAACTGATTGGCTCCATTGATTTTCTATTCATTCATTCATTCATTCAATACATACAAACATATAGTAACCATAAAACTGAATGTATCGCTACAATAAATTGATTAATGAATATATGAAAAACGTATTATCTTTTTTGGGTATAAAATGTTTGCATAACCCAACCACTTGAATTTGTTTCAGAACAAATGCGATCAATATTCAAGGAGAACATCGCCTAATAATTAATAGCATATGTTAAAGACAAGGAAAATTTTTCTATTGATGTCATCTTGTCATCGTCGAAACTTACGATTCAGTGATAATAAATCAAAGATAGATAATGATTTAGTACTTTTGAGTAATCACAATCATTTACAAAATAGTACCTATCAATGGGTCAAAATTTGCACCAAAACTTGGATACTACGCAATGAGAAATTTACATCTTTTTTAATTCGCATTCGAATATATAGGACAGATTATCGAAAGGTTAATATCGATTGTAAAACATAATTTCTAATTTTTGTTTTAAAATGAGACAACATTAAGTATAACTTTGATGAACAAGAATCTCTAGAAGTTTACATCGATAATCTTATGAATGCGAAATGATGAGTAAACGCTGTTTTTCTCATTAATTGATGTCATCATGTGCGACCAAAAATATGTATCGTATTCAAATATATAATCTAGGCACTTATTTTACAGTATCCTTGAGTGTGTGAGTGTGTAGATTGTTGTAGCTGTGCTTTACTAGTGGTATGGTATTGCATTTGCATTCTAGCACTCCCTGCAATATATATTGTGATCCCACTTGTATTTAAGATAATAATACACCATATCTTGCCGCAGTTTTTTTTAATCAGTGCAGTTACGATCTTTGTTTCTTCAACCTTTTGATATTAATTGCATCTTCTAGGTAACACCATCATCGGATGGTTGTATTAGCAGAATGAAATGTGATCCATTGGAACATAACGCCTAGTTTATGTCTTCTAAAAGTACAGGGTTCATCCTATTCTCTTCACCTCTTTTTTTATGTCAAAATTTTCACTCGGTATAGCGAAGCAAATGAACAAAATATTCATACATAGAAACAATGTTGTTCTGTTCATTTTGTAATTGATTATGTTTCATTTACTATGATTTTATGTTGGTATACTTGAACATAGATATTATTCTATGAAAAAATGTCTTTGTTACCAATCGAAAATGTTATAATCAGGTTTTTCCAGTATTTTTTATTCCACTAGAAATAACTTCAGTTCTTTTTGTCATTCGTCATATTTTTCCTTCCCCATATTTTTTTTCGCTTTCTTTTCGTTCTTTCTTCATTGGCGATGTTGGTTCATACGTATTGATATACTACATACAACAACCGTCGTACTCCTTGATATGTCATAGTTGTATACAATGGTTACACAGAATCATGAATGGGTCTGTTTTGTTCCAAGGTGAATAGAGTCTGTCTAAAAAAATACATTGCCACACGAAAGAAAAAGCTGGCTATAGAAATAATAATCAGCAATTATGTGCATCTGTTATGAGTGAAGTTGTAGACTAATAGTAGAAAAGATATAATAAGTTCAACAGTTGAACTTCAACGTGTATAGGGAGAGTTAAAGTCTGATTCAAGTTAAAAAATAGTTCGAGTTCGTCTGCACACAAAACAAAAACCGAAGAAAAATGATAAGTTTATTTAAACTAATTTGCGCGTAGAATTCGCAATCGATAAACCATTAGAGATGAATATTTTTTCATGCCAGTAATCAAAACAAGTGAAGAATGTATGATCAAAAATATTTATCTTATTCAAATTTATCGTCTAGGCAATTGTTTTACAATATCCTTGAGTATCGTCCAATCATGAAGAAAGTATGCATAAATAGTCATTAGTTTATTCATCGAATATATTATTTATCTATTTTATGTATGCATTTGTAAACAGTGATATACGAGCGTCATCGTCAAATCTCTGATTCACTACAATCTCAAATTCTTCTAAGTTAATCATTGATTCTCGCTTTGCATAAACTCGGTATGTATCTAGAGATAGGTATAGGATTCTAATGGTTGTTGGTGAATATCGTGGAAGCAATGTCAATTCAGGTAAATGAGGCCATCGACAGAACAATGAAAGTAAGATTCATGAGATTAGAATAGATGAACTTCTAAACACGATTATTTTTTATAAATAATTCTTCATTGGACTTTAAGTTCAAAATTAGTTTCTTCAATTATGATTGCGATGTATAAAATGGCATTGTTGCAACATATTTTACCAACAATGAATTCGAATTCAACATATATTTAGAGTTTCTTGAAAGTTTTAACAAAAAATGCTTTCACACTCTGCCGTGAAAAATTTCAATATGAGAATCATAGTTTACTCCAGGTAGATTTGAGCTGAGGTAAAATCGGATATACACTCGGATCTTCCAAATGTTCATTAAAATCTGTAGAGCTTTGCCCAACTATAATTCTAAGACTACGTTGATATTTTCTTTCTTTTCAAATCCAAACGACTTCAATTTTACTTGACAACTGAATAGACAGCGTGTTGAGCAGTACGGTTCGATGATTTTTTGTAAAAATATGTTTTCAAAACATGATCTATATGTGACGATTTCTGACAGAAGAAGTGCTTGCATTGATGGAACTATGCTTTATTTCATTTCGTCATATCATGAATCGTACCGATTACACAAAAAAGCACACACTTAAATATTCAACCAACCGATAGAACGAAAGTAGATGACAGTTAAGGACAAATGCTAAGCACAGCAAAATAAATACAAAACACAGAGAAAGGACAAAGGATGGCGGCGCATACTTTGCCAGTTTTGGGCCATTGTCTGTTTCGGTTTGTTTATAACTCACTAGACGCACAATTTTACGAGGAATCATTTGATACCAAAATCAAGTTATTTTGACAGAGTCTATGAGTAGTTCTGTTCAAAATACTGTGATCCAAGTTTTGTATATAAATGACTAATTCGTACATAGAACGAACACATATATAGTATGTTCCTTAATGAGATATTTTATGCCGGTGATGGCGTAGTGGTTCTAAGCATATGATAATTAATAATCAGACATGTGAAGGTTCGATATCTTCCCCCGGCACGGTGTCTTCGGTGTCAACATATACGGTATCGGAAGAATAGACAAAGGAAGAACAGTACTGCGCGCCAATTTCGTCATCACTGCCTCGATTTCGACTTTCGTTCTGTTGTTTACGTTTTCACGTTTCTCTTCCTTGTCATCCTTTCTCTGTTTGTTATCGTGTAGTTTTGTCTGCTGACTATTGTTTCCGTAAGTGTCCACAAAAAACACACAAAATATAAATGCATGTCACGAACAAATACAGCGCATAAACCAAAAAAAATGAGATATTTCGAATCAAAAATTGTGTCAAATAACTGCTCACTCCCTACTCAATCTTTGGTGAGAATTTCAGCCCGAAAGATTGAAATGTTACTGTGTAGTAATGAAAAACCTATCAAGGTTAGTGTAAAAATTATCAAATACTCCTATCTACCCACGTGTAACGATAAATAGGACTCTTGCTAGTTGATGTATTAAGACAAACTGGGTAGAGGTGGAGTAGCGCACCGCCACTCAAGGCCATGATGTTTATTCGCTTCCTCACATATCCAGAGTATAACAACTTCAAGCATAACACACATATATTGGAGAGAGGTAAGAGAGAGACAGGAGAGAGACAGAAGAGAGACAGAAGAGAGACAGAAGAG